TTGAGTGTCTGCAAGAAGAGGGGCAACTACGGTACTACTCAAGGAAGTTAAACACTGTTCTAAACAGAGGAACAGAACAGAATTTACTGGGGATGGAATCAATGTTGACAAGTATCTAATCAGTAAAGGATATGAGGGGTCTGAATACACAAGCAAAAGAACATTAGACATAACAGGAATAACAGACTGGGTAGGTTACTCAGGAAAAGAGTAAACCATGTTTGAAGCAATCTTTATAAAAAAAAAAAAGTGATATTTATCTTGAAACAAAACTGAATAAAAATAAAATTACTGATAAACAATCAATAAGAAAGAACACACAAATAACAGCACTTAGGAGTGACAAAGTAATGATGACGCTTCAATCAGACTTGTCAAGACGACTTGGCTATTGTCCGAGTCCGAATAAAACATTGCCATTCCTTTCCCTCTAAGTGTGGGTTATTTGTATATTGTTCCAGCCATGGTACTGTGACTTTTTTATTCTTTAATGAGAAAGAATTTTAAACAGGAGAAAGAGAAATTTGTAGAAGTTAGCAAATAAGAACAAAAACCATGGACCATACATTAAAGACTATACTCACTCATACAAGATATGTACTGAAAAATAACTATGACTGGCAAGCCCTAAGTCTTCCTGCCCTTCTCCTACAAGGAAAATAAATCATTCCATCTTAAGCAGCCACAAAAATCACATGTGCAGAATTTATGTCATGGCTACAACGGGTCTGTCTGTATCTATAATCTAGTGAAATCTAAATAAAATCTATGTTTGTCTAGGGTAAGTTAGAACAATGCAGGTGGTATTTTGCTCTGCAAGAGGCTGCAGTTGAGTAAATTAAAGCAGTTCACTCCTGGCTGTTCTTCTACATGCGACGGACGGTTACCTCGTGTACAGTCACCTAACTGGTACGTCATTTTTTATGTAAAAATCTCAGCATCAAACTCATTCATGGGCTAGCTAGTAATACCTCATCTTAGTCTAAACAAAGACTAAGAGCATCAGATTTAGTCACATATGCATACAGCCGAGTCACATATGCAAACTGCCAAACAGTCACATGTGCATACGGCTGATCAAGCACATATGCATACAACTGAAGTGGTATATGCATACAGCTGAACAGTCACATGCATGCATCTGAACAGATGCATATGTACACAGCTGATAAACACATATGCATACAGCTGACCAGTTGAAGGCAGTTCGAGGGTACAAACATACAGGCACATCTGCGCCCAGCAATAGTGTCAGTGGTCACATGCAAAACTCTGGGACAATTTCGTTAGGGACCACGGGCCCAAAAGCTTCTTTATTGATCAAAAAGTTGTAACAATTGGGCAGCAAGTACTGTTAAAGAATTCATCAAATATTATATTAATTATTGCTTTATAGGTCTGGCAAGTGGTTCCAAGTAATATACAAGTGCTCAGGACAAGCCAGCTGCATATACGAGCATCAATATATAAATGCGCTAATACCAATTACAGGATAGCCAGAGCACAAAATGGTACCAATTAATTATATAAATTAGCCTTACTAATTTAAAGTCTGTACCCAGAATCCATATTTCCCATTTGCAACTTGTACTATACACGTACAGTGGACCCCCGCATAACGATCACCTCCGAATGCGACCAATTATGTAAGTGTATTTATGTAAGTGCGTTTGTATGTGTATGTTTGGGGGTCTGAAATGGACTAATCTACTTCACAATATTCCTTATGGGAACAAATTCGGTCAGTACTGACACCTGAACATACTTCTGGAGTGAAAAAATATCGTTAACCGGGGGTCCACTGTATTATTATAATTTATTATCCAAAGATATCAATGGAAATAAGTCACTGACTTATTTTTGCGTTATCCTAGGTAATTTACACATGTATTACTATGTATGATAATTGTACTTGTGTGTACCTGTACCTAAATAAACTTACTTGTATCTGTCAGCTCTGAATATTTTTTTTTTTTTTTGTGAATATTGTGATAGCAATACAGTGTACTGTATGTATGTACTCGCCTATATGTGGTTGCAGGGATTAAGTCTTATCTCCTGGCACTGCCTCTCAACTTGCTGCTTGTCAGATTCCTTCCCTCCTAACCTCATGGGCCTTGTCCTTATAACTATGAAGGGAGCCTGCCTCCATTTCCTTATCAAGATAATTCCACTTCCTGACCCCTCTGAGACTGAAGAAATATTTTCTAACATCCCTGTGCTTTGTCTGTGTATAGCTTCCAGTCCTGTGCCCCCAAGTACTTGTTTCTCACTTCTGAGCCTATCCTGTCTACCATTTCAATTTCCCCAAGCATTTTGAATGTTATGTCTCCTGTGATTATTCTGTCTTCCAATACTGTTAGATTCAGTTGTGTTAGTCTCTCCTCATAGCTCAGGAACAAGTCTTCTTACATACTACTTATGCATTGTTTCTAGTTTCTTACCATGCTTTTTTTAGGTGCAGGTTCCATACTCTTGTTGCATACTCTAAGATGGGCTTAATATACAGTAGAACCCCGATATCCGCGAATTTGGTTCCCACGGTTTCAGTTATCCAGGGTTTACTGTGGCATGAAAATAACCCTTAATTTTGTTTAATAATGACACCAAAGTGGAAAAGTACTGATGCTGACAGTTCTTCAAAGCCTAAAAAAAGCCATGAAGTGCTTCCCATCAGTGAAAAATTGATAATTCTCCACTTATTGTGTGTAATTTATCAATTAAGCTATCATATATATGTATGTAAACAAAAAAATGACATATACATGTATAGGGTTTGCTACTATCTGCAATTTTGGGTATCCACAGTAAATCTTGGAATGTATCCCCTGCAGATATGGGGGGAGGGGACTACTGTATGTTATAAAAAGTTCTCAGAATGACAGATTCCTGAAGGTTATTCTTGGATTTGGTAGACAAGCACTGACGGCAGAGGTCATTCAGCTGATACAAGCCTCTGGCAATATATCAGGTACCATGCTCACACCTAGGTCTTTCTCTCTGAATGAGGTCTGCAGCCTCTGTTCTCCTAGTCTATAACTAGTTTCTAGTCCTCTTGCTCCTTCCCCAATCGTTACCTTGCACTTACTGGGGTTGAATTCAAGCAACCACTTATATGACCAATCAAACCATACCCCCGGCCGGGATTGAACCCGCGGTCACAGAGTCTCAAAACTCCAGCCCGCGGGTTCAATCCCGGCCGGGGGTATGGTTTGTTTGCAATCGTGTCATTACGATTTCTTGAGTTATATGACCAATCTTGAAACTGTCATTTGAAAATCAGTTGAGAATTTGTTTCTTACTTTGAAGTTCTAAATATGCAGCTGTGTGTCCTGAGTATCACTAAGTTACCCTGACAACTAGTTTTCCTACGGCACCATCGTCTACAGCAAACTGTCTAGGGAAAATATTATCAAGAGTAGACAGGAGACACACTGGCCCACTGAGTGACTGATAAAACTTCCATTCAGCAAAACATATATTGTTATGCTGCCTATTTGTCATTATTTGCCAAATGATCAACTCAAATTAATATATAAATTTATAATATAATATAATATAATATATATATATATAATATATATATATATATATATATATATATATATATATATATATATATATATATTTTTTTTTTTTTTTTTTTTTTCAACAAGTCGGCCGTTTCCCACCGAGGCATGGTGACCCAAAAAAGAAAGAAATTCCCAAAGAAAATACTTTCATCATCATTCAACACTTTCACCACATCGCACATTATCACTGTTTTTGCGAGAGGTGCTCAGAATACAACAGTCTAGAAGCATAAACATATAAAGATACACAACATATCCCTCCAAACTGCCAATATCCAAACCCCTCCTTTAAAGTGCAGGCATTGTACTTCCCATTTCCAGGACTCAAGTCCGACTATATGAAAATAACGGTTCACCCTGAATCCCTTCACTAAATATTACCCTGCTCACACTCCAACAGATCGTCAGGTCCAAGTACCATTCGTCTCCATTCACTCCTATCTATACACGCTCACGCACGCTTGCTGGAAGTCCAAGCCCCTTACCCACAAAACCTCCTTTACCCCTCTCTCCAACCCTTTCGAGGACGACCCCTACCCCGCCTTCCTTCCCCTATAGATTTATATGCTTTCCATGTCATTCTAACTGTGATCCATTCTCTCTAATATATATATATATAATATATATATATATATATATATTAATATATTATTAATATATATATTATATGCATAGTACATAATTTTACAAGCTGATTTCATCATGCCATTTCAGAAGTGTTTTATAATAAAAGTATTAAGTGTGTCACTCAGGTTGCTGGAGAGCAGCTCCTGACAACATGGCATTACCAGAATGCAAATTACCATGGCCGAGTGTGGCAGCAGCAGCAGCAGCAGCAACAGCAGCAGCAGCAGCCCACCACCAGTATTAGGCCAGACGAGCACAAGACAACACTCACCACGGGCATGGTAAACTCCTTCTAACCGCACCACGCCATACAACACACTTTTCACAGACTTACATACTATTAAAAGGGTGCAGTTCTGTACTTGCAAAGACTGAGCTATGATATTGCTTCAGATACAAGATTTACCTTTTGTAAGTATTCTGAGTATTTTCTTCTTTAAGCAAAAGTCTAGTTTAAGTTAGTGCACCCTTGATTATTCGTTGAAAAGTGTATCTTGAATGGGTGTGTGGCTACATACATATATACACATACAATACAGAGCGAGAGGACAATCTATTACCTCTGTGGTAAAGAAAAGAGAGAGTACTCATGTAAAATGCCTTCCAGCTTCAAAAGGGTAGTAATCAGTGAAATTACTACCAATAGTGAATGGGAGTCAACACGTGAGATAGTCTGATTATCCTCATCGCTTAACATTCCTGACCTCGGTGACTTGCTACACACGGGAACAAAGGAAACAAAAGACAAGAGGTAAAGAGTAACAGAGGAAGACAAAGACAGGCACCAGGATGCTGACTTACTCTTCTAAACTCTGCAATCTGCGGGTATTGGCAAAGAACTGTGGTCAGTCCACTCATCGTCGGAGCCTCACATTACAGCTTTATTATGTCTCTTCTATACTGTGCTTTATTTCACTTGAGATTAATGCTTTTGGTTTGACAAGATATTTATCCCACTGTCTCTTACCACCATTAATGACTTGTAGGTCTAGAATATGCTGTCACTGATTTTAATAAGATTTACTCATTATTATATTATATATATATATTATATATATATTATATATATATATATATATATATATATATATAATACACACACACACACACACACACACACACACACACACACACAGAATATGAGTAAATCTTATTAAAATCAGTGACAGCTTATTATATATATATATTATATATATATATATATATATTATATATATATATATATATATATATATATATATATATATATATATATATATATATACACACTATATCATAGTATGGAAGAGACCAGATGAAACAAAGAAATTAAATCATAAAATAAATCATGAATATGCTATAGTGAAAGCATGAATGAATTCATGAATGAAGAAAAATAAATGAATTAAATATTTTTGCACTAAATAATACTATGTATATGAAAGTTTTCCCTCAAAACCATTTAGTTTCTTTTCAGACCAAGTAATTGATGTTAATAACACAAACTTTGATAAATCAAGAAACTAGTAAAGGTGTTGGGCAGAGAATAAAGTTGTGGGGCGAGAGCAAAGTAGCCTAGGGTAGCGAAGTGATTGGGAATAATGACTGGGAGAGAGACTTCCCTTAGTCACTCCTACTACCTGAGCATGAAAAAAATGCCTTTCCAGATAGTAGATAAACTCTTTATTAATATTCCAGCCTGCATCTGAAAGTACTTGTATGGAGATTATTGATATTATATCTTTCAAAATACCTTTTTTTAGTTCAGTAAATTTTTAATTAAAGTTTGTGGAGTCTGCATATTATTTTCTCCATCAATGATTTCCTTACATGAAATACACTGAGTCTGTAATATTGCAATTAATGCATATATAATTTATATTGTGGACAGTCATAATACAATTAGACTACATGGATGGTCTGAATATCATGCATTTAATTAGGATAGCTAATGTAACTCAATATATGTTACATAACAAAGCCATCCTCAGGCTTCTTAACCCCAGTTTGGTGAACAATATTAGTTCCTATCTCTATGTTACTTGTCCATTATATACAGCATTTGAATCCATCTTGAAAAAAGTGTCCCTGGAGACAAGAGGGAACCGAGGTATTTATGCCATGGTACTGGAACAATCTAAACTTTTTTAATTTCTTTATGAGAAGTGCTATACCCATTTGGGTCATTCAGTGCAAGTAATGTACAACTTTTACTAATATCACAGAAATGACACTCCCAGGGAAGGGAAAATTGAACTCTTCAATAATGATTAATTTTTCACACTATTTTTGTGGTGAAGTCTCTCATTCAGCCTCATGCGTGTCACTAAGCTACTAACTAAGCCTCCACTACCCACACCACCAGCATAATCTTGGGTAATTTCACACCTGCTTCCAATGGCTGAAAAACTTAAACAGTTATAAATCTGCCAAACACACTCTTGGTGATGAGGAATGCATGTGTAAATTTGCCCAAGATTCTGCTTCTAAGTACTAAAAATTCTTTGCAAGTGGTAGTGAGAGATGAGGTTATTGTATTGAAATTTATGTAGTATGCTTCAGTTGACTTCAAAACACTAAGCAGTTTAAACTCAACCTGAGTAGTATATGGAGTGAGAAAACCCACATGTAGATAATGACAAAATAAAATATGATCTGTATATTTTGATCTCTGTCAGGTCCTCATCAGCTGACGAGGATCTCAGACTTAATATCAAAATATACAGATCAACTTATATTTTACCTTAAGTGTTCAAGATGCTGATGATTTGTATAAATAGCATGTGATATGCAGAAACAGTCCAGTTAATAAAAAAATATGGAAACAAAAATCCCTGAGGACCAAAAAAAAAAAGAAAGCCAAAAAAATTAAATTCATGGTACAGGTCGGCCATCACTAATCCAGCATCATTGGGACCTGTAGTGTGCCGGATTAGTGAGTCTGCTGGATTACAGTGTGGTTAGGTTAGAATACACTTAAATAACCTATCAATAGAGACTTTCTGCTACATTTTCCTTATTTTCATCACTGCTTTCTCCTCCACTGGCATGTTGCTGTGGATTTACAACCATCTGCACAATTTCTGAGTCAGTATAATGATGAAATTTGAAATTATGCTAGACGAAATTAGTGCCGGATTACTGATGGAACAGGATAACTGATTGCCGGATTAATGATAGTCGACCTGTACAGTACAGCAATGAGTGGAAAAGATTAATGCATTTTGTTACCTCCTGTCTAAGGAGACCAACCCAGCCTCAGCACCCTTGTTTAATGAGACTAACTTTGCCTCAGCACCCCTGTCTAACAAGACTAATTACCTCAGCATCCATCTAACAACACCAACTCTGCCTTAGAACTGTATGAGTGATGCAATTGCTTGTCACTGTCAAATGTGATGTATTCAAGGTTCTTATCAAGGAATTGTACCCATCCTTTTCCATGAATCAAACCCACTTCCCTCTAATTGCCTTAAGTGCTGTATGACTCGTACAGGTTTAGCACTTCCTGCATGACTGTAATAATAATAATAATAATAATAATAATAATAATAATAATAATAATAATAATAATAATTAAAATGCAATAGTAAATGTGAAGTGTTCTAGTTTATTTCTTCAAAACTATAGTAATTTAAAGTTTTATAATTTGTTTACTTTATGTACATGGTTATGGAAAGCTCTACTGGAAATTATTGATGTTAATTTCAGTATTTTTGGAAGTTCAGCTCCAAACTGCTGCACAAACGAGTTTCAGAAGTTTCTGAAGCTTCAGTGGCTTTATTAAAGCTTTAGTATTTCAAGAATGAAATACTAAAATATAATTTCTACATGCACACTCAGATGTCACTCATCTCTGTATGAACACTGTCATGCTGAAATAATTGGTTTTGTGACTTAGGTAAATTGCGACTTTAGCTGGTTCATGTAACTAATATAAATAAATGAACCAAGATGAAATGAGATGACCCTCCATTTAACGGATCACCATTTAAGAGCCTTTGGAAATCCGAAACACGGTCTGCTGGGTCAATAAATTTGACAACAATGGACAAAGTCCTTTGATGGCAGAACTTTTAATTAATGTTGCAATTACTGCAAAACAAAATTTTCTTTATCCACCCAATTCCAAAACTATTTTCTTTATCCACCCACTTTCCAAAACTATTTTCTTTATTCTTTCCAAAACTATTTTCTTTAGCCTTCATGTTGAAGGGATCATTATCCATGGAAGTGGAGATGGCCGCTCCCTGGATCAAGCCTGACACTGCCTCCCAGTCCCACAGGCACTATGATTTCTATGGGTTGAAATCTTTCCATCAATACATTAGTAACTATATTATCTTCATTTAAGCACTCAAGTGAAAGTGGTGCCAATCCTGACTCAACATTTTAGCACTGTACATTTAGTATACCTTCCACACTGCTTATGCTCTTCTGTTAGCTTTGCCAATAGTTTGTCGCTCCTGTCTTGTGAGCTTCATTATCCACACTACTCTGGCCCATTTTTGTGAATAACAGTTATTCATCAAAGTAACCTTCATTCATCATCCTCTAACAAGTAACCTTCATCCACTGGGCAATGCAATGGCAACAAATGTCTCCTCCTCCTACAAGTAACCTTCATCCACCCTTCTCCTACAAGTAACCTTCATCCACCACCCTCCTACAAGTAACTTTCATCCACCCTCCTCCTACAAGTAACCTTCATCCACCCTCCTCCTCCTACAAGTAACCTTCATCCTCCTCCTCCAAGTAACCTTCATCCACCCTCCTCCTACAAGTAACCTTTATCCACCCCCCTCCTACAAGTAGCCTTCATCTACCCCCTCCTACAAGTAACTTTCATCCACCCTCCTACATCCATCATCCTTCTCCTACAAGTAACCTTCATCTGTCCTCCTACAAAATTAGTCATGCAAATAGTCCTTTGAATAGAAAAAACAGTATTCTGAGGGGAAGAACCATGGCTTATGTATCAAGACATTGATATGGTGAACCTTTGTTGTTCAGAAGTAATGGGCTGTAGTGGTGTACTGTATGTGTATCAGGTGGTGGTTTGTAGTGTTGTGGGTTGAGGTACAGTACTGGTTGTGGGCTGAGGTACAGTACTGGTTGTGGGCTGAGGTACAGTACTGGTTGTGGACTGAGGTACAGTACTGGTTGTGGCTGAGGTACGTATGGTTGTGGATGAGGTACAGTACTGGTTGTCGGTTGAGGTACAGTACTGGTTGTGGGCTGAGGTACAGTACTGGTTGTGGGTTGAGGTACAGTACTGGTTGTGGGTTGAGGTACAGTACCGGTTGTGGGCTGAGGTACAGTACTGGTTGTGGACTGAGGTACAGTACTGGTTGTCGGTTGAGGTACAGTACTGGTTGTGGGCTGAGGTACAGTACTGGTTGTGGGTTGAGGTACAGTACTGGTTGTGGGCTGAGGTACAGTACTGGTTGTGGGCTGAGGTACAGTACTAGTTGTGGGCTGGGGTACAGTACTGGTTGAAGTACAGTACTGGTTGTGGGCTGAGGTACAGTACTGGTTGTGGGTTGAGGTACAGTACTGGTTGTGGGTTGAGGTACAGTACCGGTTGTGGGCTGAGGTACAGTACTGGTTGTGGACTGAGGTACAGTACTGGTTGTCGGTTGAGGTACAGTACTGGTTGTGGGCTGAGGTACAGTACTGGTTGTCAGTTGAGGTACAGTACTGGTTCTGGGTTGAGGTACAGTACTGGTTGTGGGCTGAGGTACAGTACTGGTTGTGGGTTGAGGTACAGTACTGGTTGTGGGTTGAGGTACAGTACTGGTTGTGGGCTGAGGTACAGTACTGGTTGTGGGCTGAGGTACAGTACTAGTTGTGGGCTGGGTACAGTACGGGTTGTTGAGTACAGTACTGGTTGTGGGCTGAGGTACAGTACTGGTTGTGGGCTTAGGTACAGTACTGGTTGTGGGTTGAGGCACAGTATTGGTTGTGGGCTGAGGTACAGTACTGGTTGTGGGTTAAGGTACAGTACTGGTTGTGGGCTGAGGTACAGTACTGGTTGTGGACTGATGTACAGTACTGGTTGTGGGCTGAGGTACAGTACTGGTTGTGGGCTGGGGTACAGTACTGGTTGTGGGCTGGGGTACAGTACTGGTTGTGGGTTGAGGTACAGTACTGGTTGTGGGCTGAGGTACAGTACTGGTTGTGGGTTGAGGTACAGTACTGGTTGTGGGCTGAGGTACAGTACTAGTTGCGGGTTGAGGTACAGTATTGGTTGTGGGCTGGGGTACAGTACTGGTTGTGGGTTGAGGTACAGTACTGGTTGTGGGCTGAGGTACAGTACTGGTTGTGGGTTGAGGTACAGTACTGGTTGTGGGCTGAGGTACAGTACTGGTTGTGGGCTGAGGTACAATACTGGTTGTGGGCTGAGGTACAGTACTGGTTGCGGGTTGAGGTACAGTACTGGTTGTGGGCTGAGGTATAGTACTGGTTGTGGGCTGAGGTACAGTACTGGTTGTGGGCTGAGGTACAGTACTGGTTGTGGGCTGAGGTACAGTACTGGTTGTGGGTTGAGGTACAGTACTGGTTGTGGGTTGAGGTACAGTACTGGTTGTGGGCTGAGGTACAGTACTGGTTGTGGGTTGAGGTACAGTACTGGTTGTGGGTTGAGGTACAGTACTGGTTGTGGGCTGGAGTACAGTACTGGTTGTGGGTTGAGGTACAGTACTGGTTGTGGGCTGAGGTACAGTACTGGTTGTGGGCTGAGGTACAGTACTGGTTGTGGGTTGAGGTACAGTACTGGTTGTGGGCTGGGGTACAGTACTGGTTGTGGGCTGGGGTACAGTACTGGTTGCGGGTTGAGGTACAGTACTGGTTGTGGACTGAAGTAAATCAGTGCCTGTGGACTGAGGTACTGTAGTGGAGTGAACATGCACTTTATTCCCAGGTCTTACTTCAGCATTATTTTTGAGCCAAATTGTCAGAAATTGATTTTGGCCTTGTATTTGAGGTCATTTTTATTAATACAAATGTAAAAACATACTAATGTAACCTAACCAACCTTACATAACCAGCATAACCTAACCTACAAAAATAATGATGCATTACTCACATTTGATGTTGAGGGAAAAAGAATGTGACATTGAATTAAAGAAAAGGTAATTAGTGTAGTGATGGTGATGTGACCAGCGACCCAACCCTGGGTCACTGGTTCCCTGTGTCAGGTTACTGTATTCTTAATATCTTGATAAATAACAATTTAAACAAATGACTGTTTCCTATAGTAAGGAGAGGCATCATTTCTGTTTCTAAAATAAAATATTAACGAGGTTGTAAGTCAAGTGATGCATAACCTCATAAATGGTGGTGACTATAATGGGTATGCTGATGAGATTCTGACCCTGAAATAAAGTACAAATTGACCAAAAGTGGTTGTGGGCTGAGGTGAGGGAGTGGCTGTAGGTTGAGGTAAGGTGGTGGTTGTAGGTTGAGGTAAGTTGGTGGTTGTAGGTTGAGGTAGGGCAGCGTTTGTTGGTCAAGATAGGGCAGTGTTCATTGGTCAAGATAGGGCAGTGTTTGTGGGTTGAGGAAGGGCAGTGGTTGTTGGGTTGGTGAGCCTGAGGAAGAGCTGGTATGTGGGTTACTTACTCTGCTGATGGTTCCTCTCACTACGCTTCTTCCATCTAACCAAATGTTAAAAATAATTTTTTAAACTACCTTGAATGGACGAAGTCCATTACATTATATATATATGCAAAACAAACACAGGAGAAGTTGAATGACAGCTCCAGGCCTTTCGTGTTGGAGCCAACACTTCTTCAGAAGCTTGCAATGTTTTGGGTCCTTGTAAATTAGGGACCCTCCCTCCCTCATTTTTATGTGATTCCATTCTGTTTAACTCATTTTCTGGTTACATAATAATTTCAAAGCAATATCTACTATTTATTCTTTGCCCTTCACCTTAGATTAAACTGATTAATGACCTGGAGATCTATATATGTAGTTGAATATTTCGGTGGTAATTACATACCATACACTGGGGAAATTCCAATAGCTATGGAAGTTCCCATAATACTAAATAAGCTTTTCCACAATATATTACAGAAAAAAATATTCTCATTGACTAGAAAAAAATATTTTTGTATGAAAACAATAGCTACCATTTTCCTGTTATGCACATTCGCAAAGGAAATTAAAAGAACATACTGCCACAAACATCAGAATTTAAGTTCTTTTATGACAAAATGAATGGAAGCCTGACAACATCTTTGTGATAACTGATACATCACTAACGATATGTTCTCTTGGTCATTATTACACAATCACTTTTATAGACTGGGCCATCTGCTGCTATTGGTCCTCAATATACTTCCTTCAACTTTTGGCACCTGGCACTAGACTGCCAGGCACCACCTGCCGCTCCACTCCGTCTTTCTTCCAGTAGCAGAGGTACTTATGGACGCATCTGCTCAGACTCTACTCCTACAACATTGCAAGCTTCTGAGGAAGTTTTGGCTGCAATACGAAAGACCTAGATCTATTATTTAACTCGTTTGTCTGCGATTATTGCATATATACCTACATACATACATATACAAATTAATATATATATATAATATATATATATATATATATATATATATATATATATATATATATATATATATATATATATACACACACACACACACACACACACATTTGTATATATATAAACATACAAGACATACATGTACATAAAGCTTTACAATAAAAGACAGTAAGGTTATAAATTCTAACTAACTTAAGAGAAATGAACAAATTGGATTTGTTACATTTACCTTGAAATTAGTATTCTATATATCTATATGAATATGGATAATGAATATTTTGTCTATAGTCGAAATTTTTCTATAGTTTGACAACTTAACAGTTGTCACAAACCTAACTGGAAATTGGTGAAAAATGCGAATATCAAGAAATATAATGTTTATGACAGTAACCAAAATGGAATTAATGACAGTTATTTGAAAAAGCGATAGTAATTGTTGAGAAAGATTGTTTTAGGAAAGACATGGTGGCTAGGGTGATGTAAACTGGTCTCTGGCCAGGTGAGAGTGTTACCTGCATCAACTTCTTGACCACGTCGCGGCCCAGGATGTGGTCGAAGACCGCTTGTAGGAACTGGTCTCCCATGATGGTGAGTTTGAGCTTGTCACGGTGCCAGATGAGCACTCGAGAGTCCTCGATGGCCGTCGCTGACACCTGTAAGTACACTGATGATTAGTTACTTGGTTCACCTGTCAGCCCACCTGCCTCGCCAGATACTGCTGAGAAAGTTCTTCTAGATCACCTTCACCCTACTGAAGCTACTTGCCTTTCTTTTCTCCTACTTCTCTCCTCTTCCCTTCCCTCCCCTTCCACTACTTGCTTGCTCTCCTGCTACTTCTCTCACTCTCTCATTCTCACATACATACATGCACACAATATAAATAACCTCTTTGTGCATAAAAAGAGGATAAGTGTTGTTCTTTAAAGAGCAGAGACATTTAACCAGAGCCTTTCTCAGGCACCAACCTTGCATTCATTTTTTACACATGCAATGGAAATAAGTCACTGACTTCTTTTGGGTTATTCTAGATAATTTATGTATATGATAATTTTACTTATGTGTACCTGTGCCTAAATAAATTTACACTCAAGTGTCACCCATTTCTGTATAAATAATGTATCATGTTGCAATAAACTTTTATTGTATTTTATCTTGAGGCGAGAGAAGTGTCATGTCTCATAATTCAATTGGCAGCACATTCAACTCTCACACACTGAGGTCTGGGGGTCGATCCCCAGTATGGGTGGAAACATCAGGATACATTTCCTTAACACACTTGCTGTCTATGTTCACCTAGAAGTAAAATAGGTACCTGGGTGTTAGAGGACTGGTGTGGGTCACATCCTAGAAACAAAACTGACCTAATTTGCGGGAAATGCTGTGCATAACAAGGTGGTGTTTTCTATATAGTAGTGTCAGCTACTGTCTGTATATACTGTACATATACTGCTAGAAATAAAAGATTATTATTATTAAAGATGACAACCACAGGAAATTATATGTACATATGTATTATACATGAATGTGTGTGTGAGATGATAATATTTTATTACATGAAACTATATTTTGTATGTAGATGAATGGTTCAGAGAACCGACATGTTGATAAAATAGACACATGTGCAACTCTTGGGTATCTTTATTACCTGGAGTTTACCTGGAGAGAGTTCTGGGGGTCAACGCCCCCGCGGCCCGGTCTGTGACCAGGCCTCCTGGTGGATCAGAGCCTGATCAACCAGGCTGTTACTGCTGGCTGCACGCAAACCAACATACGAGCCACAGCCCGGCTGGTCAGGAACTGACTTTAGGTGCTTGTCCAGTGCCAGCTTGAAGACTGCCAGGGGTCTGTTGGTAATCCCCCTTATGTATGCTGGGAGGCAGTTGAACAGTCTCGGGCCCCTGACACTTATTGTATGGTCTCTTAACGTGCTAGTGACACCCGTGCTTTTCATTGGGGGGATGTTGCATCGTTGCCAAGTCTTTTGCTTTCGAAGTGAGTGATTTTCATGTGCAAGTTCGGTACTAGTCTCTCTAGGTATATAAGTGTATATAATCATGTATCTCTCCCGCCTGCGTTCCAGGGAATACAGGTTCAGGAACCTCAAGCGCTCCCAGTAATTGAGGTGTTTTATCTCCGTTATGCGCGCTGTGAAGGTTCTCTGTACATTTTCTAGGTCAGCAATTTCACCTGCCTTGAAAGGTGCTGTTAGTGTGCAGCAATATTTCAGCCTAGATAGAACAAGTGACCTGAAGAGTGTCATCATGGGCTTGGCATCCCTAGCTTTGAAGGTTCTCATTATCCATCCTGTCATTTTTCTAGCAGATGCGATTGATACATTGTTATGGTTCTTGAAGGTGAGATCCTCCGAGATGATCACTCCCAGGTCTTTGACGTTGGTGTTTCGCTCTATTTTGTGGCCAGAATTTGTTTTGTACTCTGATGAAGATTTAATTTCCTCGTGTTTACCATATCTGAGTAATTGAAATTTCTCATCGTTGAACTTCAATTGTTTTCTGCAGCCCACTGAAAGATTTGGTTGATGTCTGCCTGGAGCCTTGCAGTGTCTGCAATGGAAGACACTGTCATGCAGATTCGGGTGTCATCTGCAAAGGAAGACACGGTGCTGTGGCTGATATCCTTATCTATGTCAGATATGAGGATGAGGAACAAGATGGGAGTGAGTAGTGTGCCTTGTGGAACAGAGCTTTTCACCGTAGCTGCCTCAGACTTTACTCTGTTGACTACTACTCTCTGTGTTCTGTTAGTGAGGAAATTATAGATCCATCGACCGACTTTTCCTGTTATTCCTTTAGCACGCATTTTGTGCACTATTACGCCATGGTCACACTTGTCGAAGGCTTTTGCAAAGTCTGTATATATTACATCTGCATTCTTTTTGTCTTCTAGTGCATCTAGGACCTTGTCGTAGTGATCCAATAGTTGAGACAGACAGGAGCGACCTGTTCTAAACCCATGTTGCCCTGGGTTGTGTAACTGATGGGTTTCTAGATGGGTGGTGATCTTGCTTCTTAGGACCCTTTCAAAGATTTTTATGATATGGGATGTTAGTGCTATTGGTCTGTAGTTCTTTGCTGTTGCTTTACTGCCCCCTTTGTGGAGTGGGGCTATGTCTGTTGTTTTTAGTAACTGTGGGATGACCCCCGTGTCCATGCTCCCTCTCCATAGGATGGTAAAGGCTCGTGATAGGGGCTTCCTGCAGTTCTTGATGAACACGGAGTTCCATGAGTCTGGCCCTGGGGCAGAGTGCATGGGCATGTCATTTATCGCCTGTTTCGAAGTCATTTGGCGTCAGGATAACATCAGATAGGCTTGTGTTAACCAAATTCTGTGGCTCTCTCATAAAAAATTTATTTTGATCTTCGACTCTCAGTTTGGTTAGCGGCTTGCTAAAAACTGAGTCATATTGGGACTTGAGTAGCTCACTCATTTCCTTGCTGTCATCTGTGTAGGACCCATCTTGTTTAAGTAGGGGCCCAATACTGGATGTTGTTCTCGACTTTGATTTGGCATAGGAGAAGAAATACTTTGGGTTTCTTTCGATTTCATTTATGGCTTTTAGTTCTTCCCGCGATTCCTGACTCCTATAAGATTCCTTTAGCTTAAGTTCGATGTTTGCTATTTCTCTGACCAGTGTCTCCCTACGCATTTCAGATATATTGACCTCTTTTAGCCGCTCTGTTATTCTTTTCCGTCGCCTGTAAAGGGAGCGCCTGTCCCTTTCTATTTTACATCTACTCCTCCTTTTTCTTAGAGGAATAAGCCTTGTGCATACATCGAGTGCCACCGAGTTAATCTGTTCTAGGCATAAGTTGGGGTCTGTGTTGCTTAGTATATCTTCCGAGCTTATATCGGTTAGGACTTGGTTTACTTGGTCCCACTTTATGTTTTTGTTATTGAAGTTGAATTTGGTGAATGCTCCCTCGTGACTAATCTCATTATGTCTGTCTGGGGCTCCACGCATACATGTCTGAACAACCTCAATTATGTTGTGATCTGAGTATATTGTTTTTGATATGGTGACATTTCTTATCAGATCATCATTGTTAGTGAAGATGAGGTCTAGTGTATTCTCCAGTCTAGTAGGCTCTATTATTTGCTGGTTTAAATTGAATTTTGTGCAGAGATTTAAAAGCTCGTGTGAGTGTGAGTTTTCATCAGAGCTGCCTCCTGGTGTTATTACTGCAACAATATTATTTGCTATATTCCTCCATTTTAGGTGCCTTAAGTTGAAATCTCCCAGGAGCAAGATGTTGAGGAAACGTTTTGCCACACAGTGGCTTCATCAGTCCATACAAAGGAGAAACATGAAGAGCAGGAGGGAAATGAGGTAATCAGTCCCTCAACCTTGAGTCAATGTGGTCAGTCCATCAATCTTGAATAGAATACAGCATATGAGCTTATATACCGTAGGCAGGAGAGGTGCAGCAGTCGTAGGTGGTGTCACATTTGTCCATGTGAAAGTAGGTCATGCCCAAGGGTTAGGCAAGCAAAGAATTCCCAAGTATTAAGATCCCAAGAAGTTGCAGTGTCTGACAGGAATGTAGATGAATAGTTCAGAGAACCGACTACTCTTCACGTTTCTCCTTTGTATGGACTGATGAAGCCAATGTGTGGCAAAATGTTTCCTCAATAAAGATACCCAAGAGCTGCACATGCGTCTATTTTATCATTTATATTTTTTATACTGCAGAAAAGAAATAAAGTTGCATTCTATAAAACCTGAGTTTTTTTCTGTAGTTTAATAACAACTCACTTGGCTGGATATACATGTACGTACATATAACTTTTAATGTACTAGAAATCACCATAATCTATGTCTAGTTTTAAGAAGTGTGTCAGCATTAGAATTAGTCTGCCAGAAATGCTCACACATGTTAGTGGCTTTCTTTAGCTAACAATGTTTTATAACATGTAAATCACACATTGTACACTTTGCAAAGAAATAAAATTTGAATTTCAATAAGTACTGTAACTGACTTTTTTTGTGGGGGGGGGTTATGTTACTATACAAGACAATTGTAAGTTAAGCTTATTTAGTTACAGGTACACATAAGTACAATTATCATACATAGTGTAAATTACTGAAGAAGAAAACAGGTTACCAAATTGCTTAAAAACACACATTCTGCAACAGAGGAAAGATAGTCTTAGCGGAGAGATCACTGAATTAGAGCAAAAACTTGGGATGTTATACCTAACAGAAGAAGTACAAAGGGAACAAAGGGCCATACAGGATATTGCAAGAAACCCAGAATATTTCTATTCCTATGCAAAATCCAAGCTAAGAACTACCTGTAGAACTGGACCATTATTGAGAGGAGATTCGTATACTGACGAACAGGAAATGAGTGAAATCCTAAAAGAAAAGTACGAGTTGGTGTTCAGCAACCCACTAAATGACAGCAAGGTAGAAAATGCAGAAATATTTTTCACTCCAGCAGAAGGCTATGCAGACCAACTAACTTACATTAGTACAAATCCCATAGATTTCAAAAAAGATATGGATAACATGCCCACTCAATCAGCACCTGGACCAGATTCATGGAATGCCCTATTTATAAAGAAGTGCAAAGTACCACTAGCATGAGCTCTCAGTATTCTTTAGAGAAAGAGCTTAGATCTAGGTGAAATACTGGAGGCCTTAGAGTGCAGACATAGCTCCTTTGCATAAGGGACATAGTAAAACACTAGCTAAAAATTACAGGCCAGTAGCCCTAACTTCTCACATCATAAAAACCTTTGAAAGAGTGATGAGGCAGCAGATTACAAATTTCATGGACCAACACAACCAGCATAACCTGAACCAGCATGGTTTTAGAGCAGGATGATCATGCCTGTCACAGCTACTGAACAATTATGACAATTACGGAGGCGTTAGAAGACAACCACAATGCAGATGTGATTTACACAGATTTTGCAAAGGCATTTGACAAATGCGATCATGGAGTGATAGCGCACAAAATGAGGGCCATGGGCATTACGGGGAAGGTAGGCAAATGGATTTTCGGGTTCCTAACATACACAACACAAAAAGTAGTAGTAAACAGAGCAACATCCAGCATCAGTGAGATAAAAAGCTCAGTGCCCCAAGGCACTGTCCTGGCACCTCTGCTGTTTCTCATCATCATAGCAGACAGATAAAAACACCCATCACACTTTTGTATCATCATTTGCAGATGACATTACAATAAGCATGAAAGTCACTGCAGTAGAGGACACTGAAAAATTACAGGAAGACATAAGCAGGGTTTTCCAGTGGGCAGTAGAGAACATGACATTCAATGGTGATAAGGTCCAGCTGCTTAGGTATGGAAAGAATGAATAATAAGAATACGTATAATAAAAGCTTTATTTATATAAGTGTATGTACAAGGTATGCAGGCCTAGCTGACATCAATAACATACTACTATACAGAAAGCCACTTGTTATGCTGAGCATTTCGGGCAAATTAGGTCAGTTTTGTCCCAGGATGTGACCCACACCAGTCAACTAATACCCAGGTACCCATTTTATACTGATGGGTGAACTGGGACAGCAGGCGTCTTATGGAAACACGCCCCTAATGTTTTCCAGCTGTACCGGAGATTCAAACTCCAGACCTCAATGTGTGAGCTGAGTACGCTAGCAGTCGAGCTACGGGACACCTCAAAAGGAACACTATATGCAAAACTCAAGAGGGTCAACAAGTATTGTAGAACGAAAAGAACACACAAAAAAACTGGGAATAATAATGTCAGCTGATCTTTCTTTTAAAGACTCTAACAAAACAAAGATCATGACAGCCAGGAAGATGATGGGGTGGGTGTTGAGAACTTTCAAAACATGGGGAAATGTTGCCAATGGTGACACTGTGGCACGCAAAGGGTATGTTACAATTTACTTGGCATATGTACACACTCCCATATAGGCTGCCTCCCAACCAACGAACTGGTTGCTAAGGGTTTAATGATTTTTTAGGGTACCTGTCACTAAATCAGTACCTTGGTTCATTGTTCAATTACAAGCGAGCCCGCCAAATGCTGAGGCGATGTGGTTCACTCGCGGTCAGCATTTGCCAGACTTGCCTAGCAGCTGGTTGATTACGGTGCTTTCTCTCTCTGGCTTCTGTTTTGCCATTCTTTGTCACCATGTGGTACACTTATATTCAACTCCTGTACATAATGTACATAGTTACAAAATTGTATATATATCTGGGGAAGGAAATACAAGTTAAATATGTATTACTGTCGAGTTTGTTTGCTCCAAAAAACCCATTATGACCAGGTTACAGGCCATTCTTACCTGTGTCCATAATACTCTTTAAATCGCTAGTGCTCCCTCCCTTAGAATACTGCTCAGTGCTGACAGCCCAGTTCAAAGCAGGAGAAATATCAGAGATGGAACAAATACAGAGATAGTTTACGGCTCACATTTAGCCAGTAAAGTACCTAAATTACTGGGGATGCCTTCAAGTCATATCTCATAATTCTGTAACATTTTAAACCTAAGATTTAATATAAGTCTGCCCGAAATGCCTAGCCATGCTAGGCGTTCTAGTGGTACACTCTGTAATTATTATTTTACTACATGTAAACCACACAATAACCAAATTCTGTAAACTCAGCATTGTAATACTTATAGAGAATAAAGTTTGAATTGAATTGAACTGAATTGACACAAACATCTCTACGACATTCCCCGTGTCCGACTAAACCTTTACAAAAATTCAATGTATGTCAAAGGCCCTAAAATCTGGAACACCCTACCTGAGAACTCTAGAACTGCAGACACATTCATCACCTTCAAAACTACCATTAGAAAACATCTTATCTCCCTGATACACCCCATCAACTAACTACACGAATACCACCTGGTGGTTCACACTTACACTCACTCACCCACTTGACCATAAACAGAAATATTAATCTCAATCTTAAAATAATGAATCCTATGATACTCCAATACTGAAACTATGTACTGTGCCAAAACAAAAGCATTCACATTGCTAAACTCACAAACTAGTATTTAGTCACTTAGCCATAATACCAACTTACCTCATAATTTGTAATATTTTAAAATAAAGAATTAAACTAAGTCTGCCCGAAATGCCTAGCCATGCTAGGCGTTCTAGTGGTACACTCTGTAATCATTATTTAACTACATGTAAACCACACAACAACCAAATTCTGTAAATTCAACATTGTAATCTTTATAGAGAATAAGCTTTGAATTTGAATTTGAAGTCTTGAACATGTACTCAATGGAGCGGAGGAGAGAGAGAGATACATGATAATATATACCTGGAAAGTACTCGAGAGCATGGACCCAAATCTGCACATTGCCATAACATACTGGAGTGAGAGATATGGGAGGAAGTTTAAAATAAACCCAGTGAGGGGTGCGGTGGGGACAATAAGGGAACACTGTATCAACATCCGGAGTCCCAGACTATTCAACATCTTACCAGAAGATATCAGAAACACTGCTGGAACAAGTGTAGAAGCCTTCAAGAGGAAACTGGACAAGTATCTTCACCAGCTGCCAGATCAACCAGGCTGTGATGGATATGTGCAGCAGTGAGCCTCCAGCAGCAACAGCCTGGTTGACCAGGCAAGGACCAGATGAGCCTGGCCCATGACCGGGCTCCGAGTTTACCTGGAGAGAGTTCTGGGGGTCAACGCCCCTGCGACCCGGTCTGTGACCAGGCCTCCTGGTGGATCAGAGCCTGATCAACCAGGCTGTTACTGCTGGCTGCACGCAATCCAACGTACGAGCCACAGCCCGGCTGGTCAGGTGTGCTTGAGTAGTGAAACTCTCGAAACTCTTCAAAGTTATATGAAAGGTATAGCCCAAAAGGCGTTGAAGTGTCTTATTACCATACACAGCTGAACATGTGTAAATTACCTAGGATAAACTCCAAAAAATCAAGAGACCTCTGTATTTTTTAGCAGATGATTACAACTCTGATACTACTCATCAAATCTTTAAGACTACCTGAATATGACACTAAATGGTTATAAATAACCATAATTTTTAAAGGGGTGGACCGGTAAGCCAGCGGAAGGCCTCGGTCACATGACCAAAAGCTCCAACCGCGGATCATAATCTAAAACCCACGTCAGGAAACACTTGTCCTGTTTCCTGACGAACTTCACTTAACCTAAGACTAACCTGGAAGAACTCGTCAGTAGAGACGCCAAACCACTCTGGTGAGTCCAGGAACTGGTGCTGAGACACTATGTGCAGCGCCCGGCCGTTCTGACTGATCACCAGTCTGTGGGCAGGAAACAATGTCTTCATACTTGAATATCTTCATTATTCACCCCATACCAGTCCTCTGCAGCGGTAGTTAAAGGATTATAGAGGACGTCTGTAATACTTTGACTGTCCTGGACCCATTATGTACCTCTGAAAGAGGCACATAATGGGTCCAGGACATTTAAAAGGGTACTCATTATGTCCCCTTTTCCATTTGTACCTCTGGAAAAAGGGAGGTTTGGTTTTTAATAATAAAAAGTCCCAAAGGGGACCGGGGACGGGCCAAAGTACTTATGGTGAACAGGTTAATGTGTTAGTGTGGGGGAAATATACTTATTAATACAGTTCACGGTGGTTAGTGCCCCTTTTAGAAGTTTATTTAGGTACAGGACACAAAATGCATTTAATAATTTATCATAATTTTTAAACATTTTGAAAAAATTACTTAATAAACCCCAAAAAAGTCAAAATTATCTCCTTTTTTTACAACTTACCGCATATTTTCCATCTTTTTTATTTTAAACTAGCCTAACTTTTCCCAATAATTTTACCTCCTTTAAAAAACTAAATTGCCCAATTTTTTTTCTAAAATCCCTATTTTTGCCCAATTTTTGCTTTAAACATATTGATCAAACTTATTGTAAACTTCTTTTATTGCATTTTTTCTAACTTTTTTAAATGTATTTTTTAATAAACTTTTAATTTATCCGGGCTACCATCTTACTACAAAATTTTAACCAATCATTGCCCTTTTTTTTTTTATCATATTTTTTTTTTTTTATTTTTTTTGCTACCTTAACTTGTGTATTTTAATCCTGTCAATTTAAATCTATTATACTCTAATTCTTTAAACAACTTATATAAACCCCTTTGCAATTACAATTGAGAGTCTTGTGCTTTTTATATTATTAGATTAAAACAGTTGTAATAGTCAATCCAAATTTTATTAAAATTAGACCAATAAAATTGCAATTACTTGAAAAAAACCGGGTTTTATTTTAATTTGGAAAAATTTTTAATATAAATAATTATTTACCCCCATAGCTATTTGGGGTAAAACTAGAAAACACCAAAGCCAAAAATAACCCAACAAAAAGCTGCAGTAAGAATAATCCTAAATCCCATCCCTGGCAGCACCCCCCCCCCACTCTTCAAAATCTAAACTTACTCCCAGTTCAGTACATCCACACTACTACTGTGCAATCTATATCTAGGGGGCCCTTTTTTAAACTCTAATATCAACCTTGACCTAAAACGCTTTCTTGATAGTTGTGACAGAACCCACAGGCATAACACCAACACAAACATCTCTAACGACATTCCCCGTGTCCGACTAAACCTTTACAAAAATTCATGTATGTCAAAGGCCCTAAAATCTGGAATACCCTACCTGAGAACTCTAGAACTGCAGACACATTCATCACCTTAAAAACTACCATTAGAAAACATCTTATCTCCCTGATACACCCCGTCAACTAACTACACGAATACCACCTGGTGGTTCACACTTACACTCGCTCACTCATTTGACCATAAACAAAATATTAATCTCAGTCTTAAAATAATGATCCTGTGATACTCCAATACTGAAACTATATATTGTGCCAAAACAAAAGCATTCACATTGCTAAACTCATAAACTAGTATTTAGTCACTTAGCCATAATACCAACTTACCTCATAATTTGTAATATTTTACAATTAAGAATAAAACTAAGTATCCCCGAAATGCCTAGCCATGCTAAGCTTTCTAGTGGTACACTCTGTAATCACAATTTACTACATGTAAACCAAACAATAACCAAATTTCTGTAAACTCAGCATTGTAATCCTTATAGAGAATAAACTTTGAATTTGAATTTGAATTTGAATAGTGCAATTACTAGTGAGAGACTGGTGCTATTTTTAATTTGTATTTTTATATTATTAGTTTTAAATTTAGTTGTACTAAAAGCTCATTCTAGCTCAAACATAGACTAAAACAAAAGCCCTTATATTAGACCTTAGTGCAATTACAAGTGAAGTCTTTTTTCTATTTAAATTTGTTTTTTTTATATTACTAGTTTATACCCTAGTTGTACTTTAGTTCATTCCAGCACAACAATATACAACATCAATTTTCATTATGTGTAGTAGTGACTATATCCTACATGACCAAAATACTCTAGCTATATACTTGTCCAAACTTCCTACCACTACAGATATCAGTACTAGAACTCAACACACAACTCAGGATATAAATAACCATAATTTAAACCTAGAAGATGATTGATCACATTGACCCTAAATCTAAACCTCCATAATCTGACACCCAATCAAAACCTTTTGGGAAAAGTAACTGCCTTTATTACACAGCATCACAAGCCAGCACTATCCTAAACAATGCTAAAAGTCTATCAGTACTTAACTACAACATCAGGTCCTTAAGCAAACACTATGATGACCTCCTAGCACTCCTTGAATCACTAAAGAAAACCCTTCTCCTGCATTATTCTTACTGAGACCTGGCTTAAGCGGGACACAATAGATATCTACCCTCTACCAGGATACACAGCAATTCACAACTGGCAGACCAAACCAAGTTGGGGTAGTATTGCAATCTATTCCCTCTAACCAATTATCTTGTATTAGCACCACTGCTTTAGTGATGAATATGGGGAATACATTTTTGCTAATTTTACTGTAAAAAACCTTAAGACGCCTATAACAATCGGTGCCATTTACCGGATACCTCACACAAACACCCCAAATTTCAGTGAAAATTAAAGTCACTAATAACAAACAGACAACTGAATAAGCACCACCTTCCCCTTAGCTGGAGACTTCAACCCCAACCTTGGCTTACTAATGATCAGCCTGTAACTGTTTTCATAAACAATATGAACAACACACTTCTCATCCCAACATTAACTAAACCAACCAGCTGACTGAGACAAGTGCAACCATAATAAGACCAAAATATGGACCAATATACTAGCCCCCCTTAAATCAGGATAATCACAGATAGCACTACAGACCACTACCCTAGCTTCCTCCTGACAACATTAGTAAACCACCCTTGAATACAACAAAGGGCTCATTTAGGGCTCCATGACGAGGCCTCAGTAAGGAAGTTCACAGCTGACCTAGAGACTGTTGACTGGCCTACAGAATTCTCCAAGGCTAATGGTAATGATGACTGGACAGAAAATTTTTCTTAACAAATTACTTTGACTATGCAACAACATTGTCCTATAAAAACAAAACAGATCACAAACAAACGGGTTGGTTGCCCATGGCTAACCAGTACCATTCTGAAATCCATTGACAAGAAAAAACCATATGAAAAGCAATATAGACAGGGGTTTAAAACCCCAAAGATATTCTTAAACACTATTTATCAGTTCTCACCAAAGTAATAAAGAAAGCAAACACTAATTCTCCAGTAGATTCACAGACACTAGAGGAGATATAAAAAAGACCTGGAAAACACTCTCTAAGATTCTAGGGACCCACGAACTGAGAAAAAACAAGAATATTGTCCTAACTAAACCTAATGAAGCACCACTACATCCCACTGACACAGCTAACAAGACTTCTTTTCAACCATAGGATCTAATCTCGCCAATAAAATCCCACATACCAATGCCCATGCCGGGGACTACCTAGATGGGAATTTCCCAAATTCCTTCTATCTTGCACCAACTGAGCCCACGGAAGTCACCGAGATTATAAAGTCACTTAAAAACAACTCAGGGAATCTGTCTCATGTCCCACCATTATTATTATTATAATAAAAAAAGAAGCGCTAAGCCACAAGGACTATACAGCTGTCCCACCATTACTGTACAAGCGAGCGGCCCATATCCTTTCGCATGCTATTTCATTACTTTTTAACAAGTCACTAGAAACTAGCACCTTCCCGAAACTACTCAAGATGGCAAGGGTTACACCAATACATAAAGGTGGTGACCCTACAGACTTAAACAACTATAGGCCAATATCAAACTTACCATTGCTATCCAAAATCTTTGAGAAACTCGTGCACAGGAGACTGTATTCATTTATAACAGCACAAAACATACTCAACCCCTGCCAATTTGGATTCAGGAAAAATAAAAGCACTAATGAGCAATCAAAAATGCTAATCTGCTTTACACAGCATTGGAAAATAAGGAATATCCACTAGGAATTTTTATTGACCTAAGAAAAACTTTTTACACAGTAGACCACAACATCTAAATCCACAAAATTGATCATTACGGTATAAGAGGCCATGCCTTGCTTATTTCAAATCTTACATTCTAAAAGGTATCAGTATGTCACCATTAAGACACAGCATCAACAACACGGCCACTTGATTTCTGGAGTTCCGCAGGGGAAGTGTCCTTGGTTCCCTGCTCCTTCCTCATATACATCAATGATCTTCCAAACGTATCCCAACACCTGAAACCCATTCTTTGCTGACGACACGACTTATGTCATCTCTCACCCTAATCTTGCCACCCTCAACACCCCTGTGAATGAGGAGCTGATCAAAATATCGGGCTTGGGTGACAGCCAATAAAATTACGCTTAACACTGACAAAACCTACTATATATTTGGTAGCAGAGCAGGAAAATGCACAAATTAACATTAAGATCGACAACACTCTAATTACCAGACATGAGGGCAAATTCCTGGGCCATACCTTGACAACAACCTAATTTCAGCACCCATATCCAACACATAACCAAAAAAGTAACTAAAACGGTTGGGATCCTCTCCAAGATACGATACTACGTGCCGCAAAAGGGCCCTTCTCACACTATACCACTCACTTATTTATACATACCCCCCACCTATGCTATTTGTGTTTGGGGGATCAACTGTAGCAACACACCTAAAGCCAATAATAACCCAACAAAAACTGCAGTAAGAATAATCACTAAATCCCATCCCTGGCAACACCCCCCCCCCCCACTCTTAAATAGACCTAAACTTACTCCCTGTTCAGTACATCCACACTTACTACTGTGCAATCTACATCTACGGGACCTTAAACTCCAATATCAACCTTGACCTAAAACGCTTTCTTGATATTGTGACAGAACCCACAGGCATAACACCAGACACAAACATCTCTACGACATTCCCCATTCCGACTAAACCTTTACAAAAATTCAATGTATGTCAAAGGCCCTAAAATCTGGAATACCCTACCTGAGAACTCTAGAACTGCAGACACATTCATCACCTTCAAAACTACCATTAGAAAAAAATCTTTTCTCCCTGATACAACCCCCCTCAACTAACTACACAATACAACCTGGTGGTTCACACTTACACTCATTCACCCATTTGACCATAAACAGAAATATTAATCTCAACTTAAAATAATGAATCCTATGATACTCCAATACTGAAACTATGTACTGTGCCAAAACAAAAGCATTCACATTGCTAAACTCACAAACTAGTATTTAGTCACTTAGCCATAATACCAACTTACCCCCCATAATTTGTAATATTTTAAAATAAAGAATTAAACTAAGTCTGCCCAAAATGCCTACCCATGCAAGCGTTCTAGTGTACACTCTTAATCTTTATTTAACTACAGTAAACCACACAACAACCAAATTCGTAAATTAACTTTGAATTTTTATAAAATAAACTTTAAATTTTAAATTTTGAAACAAAACGACTTCTTCCATTAGGCCCTTGTCAGAAAACACAATAACTCTTTGTGTCATGGGAAAAATTGTCACAAAATCATTAATCTCATGTGTCAGCACAAAAAGTCTTTGTGTCAATTTTAAAATAACGTCTTTTTTTATCATCAAAACATTCCGTTCATCATCAATAACTTACGTGTGTCTCATCAGCATCAATAAGTTGGTGTGACATAAAAATCATAATAAAATTAGGGATCACCCGGTTGCAAAATAAGATAAGATTTCCTTCGGTTTTTTTAGCCCCCCGGGAAACCCCAAAAAGTCATGCGTCATCGAGGACTGTCTAACTTTTTCCTTTGGGTCCTTAACTTGTCCCCCAGGTCGACCCACACCGTCGACAACATAGGTCCCTTTTTTCCCTTGGTGAACAAAACAGGTGAAGGAAACGGTCGAAATTTTTTCCACCCGCCGGGAATCAAACCCCGGGCCTCCGGTTGGAAGGGGGGATTTTTAGCCCCCGATTTCCCTGGAGAGAGAGTTTCCTGGAGAGATTTTCCGGGGGTCAACGCCCCCCGGCCGGTCTGTGACCAGGCCTCCTAGGTCAGTGTCCCAGGAATGCAAACCCACACCAGTCGATAACACCCAGGTACCCATTTTACTGATGGGGAACATTAGACAAAAAGGGTGGAAAGAAACACGTTCCAATGTTTTCTACTCTGGCTGGGAATCGAACCCAGGCCCTCACCGGTGAAGCGAGAGCGTAACCACCGGGCCACCAGAGCCACCAG